TCACCACCCATCTGTTTACAGGAGTTTTTGCAGCGTCACTGCACCTGACCCCAAACCCACTGTCTCCCATATGGCCCGGATTGTGGGCAGTACCAGTACAGCAGGCCTTCCTCTCCCTGCCATTGCTTCCCTAATGAGACCCCACCAGGAGGGAGGGAGGGCAGCTTCCTTCCATTAGCGGAACTGCTCAGAGTGAGAGGAAGCTGGTCACTTCCATTTTTTGAGGTCCCTCGTATACTAAAAATGAAGAAGGTTAAAGTGGTTGTGGTATAATTTCAGTGTTTACACAGAAAAAGTAGAATACAATATATTTGTTTTATTGACAAGATAATTGCAGAACTCAATACATTTCCTAGTAAATGTATTGCAGTGCTTCAAGTCTCAAGATTTTCATATATTTCTTTTAAGCCACTGGAGCTGGGGTTGGATCCTTAAAGTCAGAATTTCTAGAAAATAACACAACTAAAACCAATGCAGAACCTTTATTGGATTCCATTCAAAGAAAAAAAATGTGTGTGTGGAAAGGGGACATTTTAAGATGTTTGGGAACATTTGAATAAGGCTGCGATATAGGATTATGTTAGGGAATTATTGTTAATTATCTTGGTCATGATAATATAGGAGAGTAGCCCAAAGGGCCATTGCTATGGTTTAGATATTGAGTTAGCTTTCCTTTAATTAAGAAAAGGTTTATTTTGGCTCATCATTTTGGAGGTTTCAGTCCATGATTGGTTGGTCCCCTTGCTTTTGGCCTGTAGCAAGGCAGTACATCATGGCGGCAGTGTGTGGCAAAACTGTTCACCTCATTGTTGGGGTACAAAAAAGGACGAGGAAGGGGCTAGGATCTCATACCCTTCAAGGGCATGCCCCCATCGCCAGAAGACGTTCCATTAGGGCCCCTCTCCTAAGGTTCCATTGTCTCCCACTAGCTCCGCAAAGGAAGACCATGCCTTTAACACACTGCCACGTTGGGGACTTATCCAAACCATATCATATATGGTTTGAGCACATCTCCCAAAGTTTCATGTGCTGGAAGATTAGTCCCCAACATGGCAGTGTTGAGGAGGCAGAACCTTAGGAGGTGAGACTTAGTGAAAGGTAATTAGGTTGTTAGAGGTTGCACCCAAATGAATGAATTAATGTTGGTGTCTTGGAGTGGATTGGGTCTCAAAAGACAGGGTTATTTCCTAAGAGAATGGATTCTTACCAAAAGAGCAAGTCTTGCCCCTCCCTAGTTTCTTGTTTTCTTGCTCACACAGGCGCCCCTTCTGCATGCAGCCAATTGCCTTTCTACTTCCCTGCCAGACCATGACACAGCCAAGGGGAACCTTGTCAGAATGTCAGCAAAATGCTCTTAGGCTTTGAGAACCATGAGTTAAATAAACCTCTTTGCTTTATAAAGTTCCCAGCCCCAGGTATTTTTGTTATAGCAATACAAATTGGAGTAAAATGGTTCAGGAAAAAATAAATTTTTGTGGCGCTGGATATCAAACCCAAGGCCTTGCATATGCTAAGTAAGCACTGAACTACACCCTGAACCCTTTTTAAAAATTTCATTTTGAGACAGGGTCTAAGTTGTCCAGGCTAAACTTGAACTGCAATCCTCCTGCCTCACTCAGTCTCCTAAGTTGCTGGAATTATAGGTGTGTGCTTTCATGCCTAGCTGGAAAAAATATTTTTACAAATAGAAACAATATAAAGATGTAGTATTTATGAATAAACGTTAACCTCTACTGAATCCAGGTGGAAGATATATACAGATATCTTGTGCCATATTGACATTTTTCAATAAGAAAGTGTAAATTTTTTGGATTGCAAAACAAACACATGGTAAATTTTCCTATTATGTTGTGTCTTGGTGGTAGTGGATGAGAGCAGAGGCAGGTAAGCTGGCCTGAAGAGGTGAGAGACACTACTGTGATACAGACAGAGAAATGGACTATTGTGGAGAGAGCTGGGTGCAGTGTAATCACAGGGATTTGGGAGACTGAGGTAGTAAGATTGCAAGTTCAAAGCCAGCCTCAGCAATTAGTGAGACCCTAAATAATTGATCAAGACCCTATCTCAAAATAAAAACCAAAAAAGGTGGAGATGTTTTGCAGTGGCTAACACCCACCCCCCCAATCCCTGGTACCCCAAAGCAAAAACAAACAAGAAAACCCAGACAGGTCATTCATAGGCCAGAGAGGACCAGAGGACCAGAGTCAGACATCAGCATATGTCCTCCAGGAGATATGACACACCCAAATAACCCCCATGTTTTTATTTACCTTATACGCCTAATTAACTAGAGGAAACTTTGTGCACAGAAGATAAACAGTTGGCTGGTAAGCACATGGAAAGATCACTCACTAGTCATTAGGAAAATGAAATTAAAACCACAAAGAGATACCACCATCCTTATATTCATTGAGATGGCTACTAATCCCCACAAAAGCAAACCAGTGTTGGTGAGTATGTGGAAAAACTGAAACACTTGTGCACTGTTGGAAGGAATGTAAAATGGTACAGCTATATGGCAGTTCCTGAAAAAAAAAATTTAAACATAGAATTGTCATGTGATTTAGTAATTCTACTTCTGAGTATATATGTTCACCGCAATATACTGGCAAAGGCTATAAGGTAGAGGGAACCCAAGTGCCCACCAATGGATAAATAGAAGCAAAACATGGTATAGATATGCAATGGGACATTATCCAGCCTTAAAAAAAGAAGTCTGACATATGCTACAACATGAATGAATCTTGAGGATATTATGCTAAGTGAAATAAACCACTCACAAAAGGATAAATACTGAAATATTTGAGTAACGAGAGTTACTTAGAACAGTCAAATCCACAGAGATAGAAAGTAGTTGTTTGCTAAGGTTTAAGGGTGAGGAGAATGCAGAGCTATTTAATGGGTTGGGAGTTTCAGTTTTGAAAGATGCAAAGAGGTCTGTAGATAAATAATGTTGATGGTTACACAACAATACTTAATGCCACTATTTGTACACTGAAAAATAGTTAAGATGCTAAATTTCATGTTATGTATGTTTTACCATAATTTTTAAATAAGATAGCTTTATATCACTATTATAAAAGAAAAACCACTTACCCTAGAGGAAAAATCTCCATAAAATTAAGGACAATTACACTCCTCCAAACAGGGTGGGGTTGACATTACTCTAGATGCTGGTACCTTCTAAGGCTGTGCACAGAGACCTTATTCCACTTCTATTTAAAGGGGTAATCAGCAAGTACAATGAAAATATTAAAAACTCTGTTCCCAACTTTCTCCTTGACAACTTCAGAGGGGTCAAAAGAGAGTTGGTTTTTTTTTTTTTTTTTTTTTTTAAAGAATTGCCTTCTCACCACTTGGTGTAACAGGGTGGTGTCTGTGGGCTTCTATAATAATTTCTCACGTCAGAAAGCATGGGCACCCCACACTTTGAAAGACCCTTGTAAGGACAAGAGAATAGAAACTATATGCATCTTGCATAGGACTGGGCCAGGGCACATCAAGTGAAAGGGGGAGAGGAAGGAGACCCCCATTAAGTAAGAGTTTTAGGGAAGTGGCCTGGGGCTATTTGTGCAAGGAATTCCAGGGTCTCTGATGCCTAATCATCACCTTGGTCCCAAGGACTCCTTGCCTTGTGAGGAGGGGTCTAACTGGAGGAGGAGAAGAGAAGTGCTAGCCTCTTTAAGTGCTGGCCCAGATGGGGACCCAGTTGCTTTGGTCTAGGAACTGTACTTCTTCATAGTAAGTAAGTAAAAACCAGTGTCAATAGGGAGGGTCTGGTCGAGAGAGGATGACAGAGTAGGTAGAAGGGAAGAAATTGGAGGATGTGGAAATTGTAAAGGATGTGACCAAGGAAGTTCCAATGGACATCTGATATTTTAGCCTGCACTGCATCCATACCCTTTCCTGGATACAGTGCACCACCGTGTTCTCTCAGGACACTCTCTTATCTCCAGGATTCTTAGTACATTTGGTTGGTCCAAGCTGCCTGCAACCCCTTCCCACTGTAGAAGACTAGAGACTCAGCTCTGTCTGGTCAGAAGATGCCGTTTTTCCTCACCACAATGATCTTACAGGTTCTTGATTTAGCTGCACCTGAAGCTAGGTTTATCCTGCCCTTTCATTTATATTTTACACTGAGCAACCTTTAAGGATGTGATGTGTGTGTGTGTGTGTGTGTGTGTTGGAAATAGGCCTCACTTCAGGAGGTGCTTTATAATCATCATGGGTTCCCCATCTTCAGACTCAACCAATCACAGGTCCTCAGTATTCAGAAAACAATTGCCCCTGTATAGCATTTTCCCTTTGTCATTATTCTCTAACCTACAACTATTTTCATAGCCCTTCCATTGTATTAGGTTTTGCCAGAAATCTGGAGGTTTGTAAACACGAGAATGTGCATAGATTCTATGAGAATATTATGCCATTTGATATAATGTTCTTGAGCATCTGTAGATTTCGGTATCCTGGTGCGTGTGTAGGGGTGTCCAGGAACCAATCCTTTGCAGATGCTAGGGAGTACTATACAATCTTCTTATCTAGGGCTTGTGGAGGTTTTTGTCTAGTTCTTAGTGGCCACTGCTGACCACTCTTGCTCCCCTGCAGTTCCCAGGCTATTGGGCCTTCGACGCTTATTTACAGACACCTCTCTCTCTTCAAGATGTCAATTATAAGACTTGCCGTTGACCAGTTAAATGTTAAATCTCAAAGTCATTTAACTTAAAACCTCACTTTCAAAGTTTTAGGTGGTTTTCGTTTGTCTCAAACGCTTCCACAGGCCCTTAGAAAACTTCCTGGTGCCAAACCCCCGGGCTATCAAGGTTTGGGGTACATACAGCCCCAAACCGGCCGTCAGATGCCCCGACTTCCCCGGGCCCTCGTGCAAGCGGGCGGGAGCGGACAAAGACTCGCACGCATGCGCGGGGGCGGGGCTGCGCCCCAGGCCTGCGCGTTGCCGCTCGGGCGGTGGCGGACGCGCGCTCGAGGCTGCATCCTGGACTAGTGAGACTTGGTGCGCTTTTGACCCTCCTTGGACAGATTCGCCCGGGGCTGCCTTTCCCAGCCCCGGCTGTGTCCGTACAAGGTGCTCCCACTCGGCAGGACCGAACAGGGGCAATGGAGGGGGACCGCCCCCTCAGCCCTCGAAGGTCCCTGAGAAGACGACCACGCGCGGCCTGACCTGCCGTCCTCTCGTGGAGCCCATGGGCGCGTCCCCGCGGGCGGGCAGCAGACGTGAGAGTGGCGAGCGGCTCCGAGAAGGGCCGTGCTCGTGCTCTGCTTCGCGCAGGACGCGCACGCGCGCCCCCGTCGTAGCCCCGGCCGCGCCCGCCCCGCCTCTCAGCGCCGGCCCGGGAGCCCGGTCCGTGAGCGGCGGCGGCGGCCGGAGGGACGATGAGCGGCGCGGCGCGGGCGGGCCCGGCCCGGCTCGCCGCGCTCGCACTGCTGACCTGCAGCCTGTGGCCGGCGCGGGCGGACAACGCCAGCCAGGAGTACTACACGGCGCTCATCAACGTGACGGTGCAGGAGCCCGGCCGCGGCGCCCCACTCACGTTCCGCATAGACCGCGGGCGCTACGGGCTCGACTCTCCCAAGGCCGAGGTCCGCGGCCAAGTGCTGGCGCCGCTACCCATCCACGGAGGTGAGGACCGGGCCAGGGGGAGAGGATCCTGAGGTGTGGCGGCGGGCGGTGGTCGCCAAGAGCCGGGGCGCGCGGAGGTGGCGAGGCCGGGGTCCTCGGTAGCCAGCCCGGGCTCGCCCGCTCCGCGACGTTCGACCGACCGCTACGGTTTCCTCTGTGTGGAACTCGGCCTGCTCATGGTTGGGAATGAGGCTCCAGAAGCCTTTTTGTCCGTCCTCCCTCCCCACCCCCCTTTTTTAAGACTTGGAACGTTCTCTTTTCATTTAGGTAGCTTGTTTACTGGAGGGCATTGAACTGCGAGTTTTGCAGGGACAGCATAGACAAAGGAGGTGGTGCAAGTAGCACAAAACTAATTCATGGAGAATGAGATCTTAAACCGGCAGGTTTGTTCCTGAAATCACAGATTTAACGCTGCATTGGATCTCGAAGGATGAGAGGCCCTTTTTCTAACGTCAAAACGTGCCGTTTTTCTTCAGTGGGAATTGGTGTGGGGGGGCGGGTGTTGAAAGAGGAAAATGAGAATCTTCCCTGTTGCTTTTGGCTCTTGTTCTACCCCAGTAGTTTTACTGTAATTTGACTCCGGAAAATTTCACATTAAGAAGAATCAGACAAATTGGAACTAGTAGCCAAGTCTTCAGGTCAGGGGTGCCAAACAAGAGAGAAACAGGTAAAATTGTCAAGAATTGTCTTTGAAGCCATCTGATTTATCTTCATGTTTTTCTGTAAACTCGGACAGTGTTTAGTTAATGATTTGGTGCAAAACTTGTATTTGCCTAAGTTCCTAGTTGTGTTTTAAAAGGAAACGTTTCCCACATTGGGGAGTAGATGTTTTTGGATTTCAGCGCAGTGTGAAGTTTTTGGAAAATGTCTGCTATCTTCTCCATCCCCACTCTCATCCTGAGACTATAACAGGAGGTTTTTGTTTGTTTGTTTTTAACTGCTCATCATGTTTAAATGATCTAAACTAGGAAACCTAAGTAAGGTAATGGCCTTTGCTTTTATAGTCTAAAATATTAGAACATTATGCCCTTCTGAGCTCCATTTGTATGGTTACATGCTAAATGGTTTACTTCTTTGAGGCAGTCTGACTGGGGGTAAAGAATCAGTAAGGCTTTCCTGTACAGTCTGTCCCCAACATAGATGGGGCTCTTAAAAATTCATTTTAAACCAGTAATCAGGGGCTTAAGGTGCATTTTTCATTTCCACTTTGTTAAAAGTAGCGTTTAGGGTCCCTAGCTTGGCCCTAGAAACAACTTTTGTTTTTGGTTCATTCAGTAAATATTTGTGTGCCTGCTCTGTGCCAGTCACTGTGGTTGGGACACATAATGTTGCCAAACTATGGTACTAACAATGCTAGCCTATTTTCTAGTGGGGGGGGGGGCGGAATCCAGAAGGGTCACGTGGAAGAGTAGGAAGAGGAAGAGAGAAGCAAGCTGTTTTCTAGAGTAAGAACTGGCCTTGTAGTGTTTTGAAATCTGTGGTTTGTCTTTGGGGCTTGATTTCTCCATGGACCCCAGATCTATAGTCTTCACTTTAGATTCTTGCCCCCAAAGTGTTCCATGTCATTATACTATTTGTTACTTGACTGTCACCCCAAACAAAAGCCCTATCTTTAAGAAAGCTTGTTTTAGGTGTTCCAATAGAAGGCTGTTGGGGATTAATATAGATGATGTGTGGATGAAGGTCAGTCCTGTTACTCTATCATTGGGAAAGTAGCATTGTAAAATTAAAGGTTTTGAGTCAAACTGTGCTGTACATGTATTGTGTGACACTGGCAAAGCAATTCTGCTGCTTAGCCTCAGTTTCTTTGTCTGTAAATTGGAATGATGAAGTATTTAACTCTTAAGGCATCTTAGAAGTTTAGATGCATCTTGAACTCTTTGAAGATACCTGTTAATCTGTGTGAATTCAAACTGGTGGAGTTTTAGACACTGAAACAAAATGAACAAATTTGTGAAGTAGTGTGTGAAAATTGAATGTGAGGTCACTTTTTTGCAAGTTTTAATCTTTTCTTTCCTTGATTGTGGGGGTGTAGGTGTCATTTTGTATCACAGGAGAAGAAATCCTCTGGGTTTTCTTATGGTGGTGGTAATGGTAGGATCCCACAAGTGGTTTGAGTCTGATTTTGTATCAAGGGTCTTCACACTTATGTTCTTTTAGTCCAGCAAATATGATTGGAATCCCACTGTGTGCCAAATACCATTCAAGGCACTGGTGAAAAGGGCAACAGCAGTGAATAAACTGATAAAATATCTTTGAAGCTTATATTCTAAGGGGATCTTTATAAAGTTAATCCGCCTGTAAATTGTTTCTAAACCTGTGGGTTTATATAAAATCCAAGATGTTCTGCTTGTCCCGTAGGAACTCAAGTGTATTTTAAAAATAAGAATTTGGTAGAAGTCTGTTCAAATTATTCATGGTTAAGAAAATTATTTAAAGTAGGAATAATTTGGGGGAACTTTATAATCTTAATTTAATGAGTTTCAAAATTTTATGTATTTTTTAAAAGTTGTATTCCTTATAACTATGCTCTTAAAGTTTTGAATTGGAGAGAATTTTTTTTACATGTTTATTGTGTGTTGACACGAAGCAAAATGATGTTCAAATTATTCTTATACTCACAAGTTGTGAGACAGAATTCCTGGCTCAAAAACAGCTGTGGTCAGTGGATATGAAATTCATGAAAATTCATTTTGGCGGTGAGTGACTGGTAGAAATGAATGTAAAGACAAAGGAATTTTTACAGTTTTTCTGGAGCTTACTATGATGGCTCATTTTACATCTGTGGCTTGATTTGTGAAATCTTTCTTCTTGTTTTGCAGTGCTACTCTTAGGCTTATATGCATTACAAAATTAGACCTGTATGAATTACTGAATAATATTATTATTATTCCTCTAACCTTTAGGAAAAATTGGCATTTTTTTCCTTAGGTGTTTTTAAAAAGTACTTTTTAAATAAAATACTTCATATACAAGTATGAAAATATATTTTTGTCTTTAAATAGAATGCATTGGTGAATGGAAATTCATTTGTTTAGCCCTAATGCATTTCACATTGTAACTGATAATTCATTTTTAGAAATGGAGTTTTAAAGGAATATGTCTTAGGTTTATGCACAGATCATAGTTGCATTTTTACTATTTACTAAACAAAATGCTTATAACTAAGATCAAAATGTTTAATACCTTTGCAGAGCAGACCAGCTAGTATGTACTGTGAAGTAGACATTGTAAATGCGCTTTATGTGTGTGCACACTAACTTTTTGTTTGAATCCAGAGTGGGGGTTGGGAGAGGAGAAAGCCCTGTGTCAGTGATGTAATTATGTATGCAGATGTGCTGGTGGGAAGAGTTTGGTATCAGCCAGTTTTGCTTTGTGTAGAAATTTTCTGGATTGAGCGTTACAGCCTTAGAGAACAATTTTACCAAATAATAAACCTTTTTTGATGCCTTGTTGACTTTAGGGTTGCAATAAGATTTTTAAAAAAAGAATCTCGGGTTTATATGTTTAAAAAAAAGGTGATCCTTTAATGAACCTGAAATTTGTTTTAGAAATTCTCATAAACAGTGAAGGAGATTGATACAAAAATGGGAGTTTGGATGAAAGGATTCATAATATTGGAATTCATAATGTCAGAGGCAGGGGCATAGAGATTTCAAAATATTTGGAGAGAAAGTATATATGATCTTGGGAGCAGCGTCTCTGAACATTCGGAAAGAGAATTCAAAAGGGGCTAGAAGTTCTAAAAGCCAAATGTCAACATAATTAGGCAAGAAGAAAAAGGAAAGATGTGTGTGAGTGTGTGCTTTGAACTTATAGCCTAGAAAATATCTTCATATACCATGTTTTTTCTTCATTTATAAATGATTTCCTTTCATGTATAAAAATTAGAATATTTTATTTTACTTTATTTTGATACCGGGGATTGAACCCAGGGTGCTTAACCACTGAGCCACATCCTGAGCCCTTGTTTTTAAATATTTTTTTAGTTGTAGATGTACCCAGTATCTTCACTTATTTATGTTTTATGTGGTTGAGGATTGAACCCAGTGCCTTACACGTGCAAGGTAGGAGCTACAGCCACAAACCACACCCCCACTCCAGCCCTTTCTTGTATTTTTATTTAGAGACAGGGTCTTGCTGAGTTGCTAAGTGTCTCGCTAATATGCTGAAGCTGGCTTTGAACTCAAGATCCTCCTGTCTCAGCCTCCCGAGTTGCTAGGATTATAGGCATGTGCCATCGTGCCCAGCTTAGAATTTTTTTTAACTTTTTTTTTCAGCTTAGAATATTTTAAAAAAATCATTTGACCTCCCCACCAAGTCTCTAACCTGCTACCACACTATTTCTCTGTTTCTGTTGCATCAAGGTCTCTCATAAGTGTTTTCTGTACTTCTGCCTCCAACTTTTAACTTTTTCCACTTGCTATTTTTTACATTTTGAAGGTCTTTTGCTGTGCCAGTGATTTTGATAAAAACATCATATATTGGCTAATAGGCTCAGGATTCCTAAGATCTCAATGTGTAGAACGATGGGCTGAAGTTACAAGAAAAATAGTTAATAGAAATGTGTATATGATCGTTGGGTTTAAATAACAACCTTCATTGAAAGTTGTTGAGGGGAGATAAGGTTTAGTTGCATGTCACATGACAAAGCCTAGGAGCTCTCCCTCACTTAGCTCAGGCTAATCTTGCACTGCATCTGGATCTAGGGCAGCTCTAGTCCTACTTCATAAAGGCCAAACACATCTTTAGTTTGTGTTTAATTCTGAATATGAGTTTTAAGAAATGAACAAACTACAAAGCATTCTTTTGAATTTCATAAAAAGGAAATCATTCTTTGGAAAGAATAAACTGGGTAGCTTCCCTCTCACCTTGAACACGGTATGACTGTAATGTAAGAAGACAAATCTTTTAAAATCAACCTTCCAGATTATACCACTAAGGAGAGTGTTATACTTTTCAAGCCAGTCACAGTGTATATGGATGTGTATATGCACATA